AGAGCGGTGCAGAGCCCTCCCTGCAGGGGGCAGGGCGGGAGGGGCCGCATGGCAGCGCCCTGCTGAAGCCCTGGCCGCCCCCCTTCTCTCTCTCTCCCCTGCTCCCTCCCCCTCCCCCTGCTTGCCAGGGCACATCCGCAGCGCAGGGAGTCCCCCTGCACCCTGGCTCCGGCCGCACCGTGGTTTTTGGGGGGTTTTTTGTTTTTTCTTTTGCTTGGGGCAGCCAGAAAGCCAGAGCCGGCCCTGTCAGCAGCACAGTCAGCCACCCCTTCGCCTTCCTCTTCTCCCGCCCACTCCCTTTTTCCTTTTTCCCCTTTGCAGTTTAAGGTTGAATGTTACTGTGGGTTTTCCTTGCTCAACTCTCCTTCTTGGCACATGGTCAATTTCAGCCTTGTCTCCAAGCCTGGCCTCCTCTCACATGCTGACAGCAGAAAGAGGTGTGGGGCCACTCGCTGCTGAACTTTTGAACGTGACTAATTTCAACATTGGTTAGATCTCTGTAACCATCGTATGTTTGCTGCAGTTTGATTGCTCAGACTTTCCGCGAGTGGCATTGACAGATCAATGTATAGTAATAAAGTATCTCACTTCCTGCTCCTTGGGGGACTTTGATTTTTTTTTCCTGGTGCAATTTAATTTCTATGAGCCATTTTCCTATTTTTTTTCTTCAGAGTAAGCAACACATGTTCTTTAACAAGTCAAAGATCATTGAGTTTTAACAGTTTTGATTTACCTTCATGTTCATATCAGCCTGCATGCATCTCCCAGGATCCGTTTGACTAATTGCACTGTTTTATTTCAGCTCAAAGAGGAGTTAAAGATTTTCCTTGGACTTTCTGCTCTGAAATTTGCAGCAACAGTCAACTAAACATGCTGATGTGTGATTATATTCTGCGAATTATTTCTCCAATATGCAAACATGTGTAAAAGCCAAAAAAGGGGGGGGGGGGCAGACAAAATTTGTTTTGCTTGGGGCGGCAGAAAACCTAGAGCCGGCTCTGGCTGGCCCCTTGCACACCCCCAAAATTCAGGATTGAGGGCTTCTGAGTGTGATGCAAACTGGTTAGTTTGGAAACGGTACCGATTTCCATTTAAACCCTACATGGATTCGAGCCCAGAGAGGCAAACCTGATTGGAAACAGTGAGGTCTGCGCTCGGAGAGGTTCTTGATTTCAGCTCCATTGAGATTTTGAGAGTGGCCCTGCAAACCCTTCCTAGCCTGAGTAATCCTTACCCCACAAATTGTTCCACCGGAGCCAGTGGGGTCAGTCCCATTAGTAAGCTTGGCAAGATCTTAAAGAGAACTAGACCCTGCAGAAGTTTGTCTGGTCCAGCCCCGGGCTCTGTTCCCAGCACCTGAGCTCCTTCTAGCTTTCCATGCACCCAGCTTCTCTTTTCTAGAGGGCAACAGTACAGTAAACCCCGTGAATCTCGAGTAAGCACACGGGCCGGTGCTCTTTTCCTTGCAACACCCGAAAGCCTCAACTCTTGGAAGAGGATGGCCGGAACGCTGCCCCTGGAAATGTGCCGCCCCAAGCACATGCTTGCTTTGCTGGTGCCTAGAGCCGGTCCCGCCTGTGGTGCACACTGCCACATCATGTAGACAAGACCTGGGGCTGCAAAGTGCATACTCACAGGCAGAAATATAGGTGTCCAGGGAACTTCTACTGCAAAAACTGAGGTGCAAAGTGAGCTCAGGTGTCGACAGAATTCAGGGACAGCTGGGGTGGGGGTTCAATCCCATTTTAGGCCTGATTGTGTGATTGCGTTTTCTAATGTGGTCATTAGGCTCCTAAATCTGTTGATGAGTCTATCCCTTGGTATTTAAGGGGCTTAGGGAGGAGAAGAAGATGTTGGATTTCCTGTTAAAAGACTGATGTCCTAAATATCTTACAGAATCTCCTACTGCTTCATATAGAGCCCTGTCTGGTTATGTCTCTCTACAGAGAAATGAATTAATTAGGCCTGAAATTTCAAAGATGCCTAAGGGAGTTAAGAGCTACTTTCCACCATACCAAGAAGGACTCTCACTACAGGACCTCTTCTACTTAAACACCCACTACAAAGAAACAAACAAACAAACCAGAAATCTGGAAAAAACAAATCAACCAACAGAAGAGACCCGAAGAGAGCCCATGGCATGAAGCAGGGGGGCTTAACGCTCTATGTTTTGGTCCCAAGAGGTGATGAAGCCAAGTGGCTTACCCTAGTGAGAGTGTGACCCTCTAGGGGCTGACACACTGAAGGGGTCCTCCCAGTGACTGTTCCAGAGCTGTTCCAGAGCACCAGACCTATGGATTCGTGCCCCCTTTGCCAATCTTATAGTATGTGAAGATTTATTAAATAGGAATAGGAAACAAGAGAGTTCTTTACAAGGTTAATGCAGATAAACATATACATAAATGAGTTACATTCTTCAGTTTCTCAAAGTAATAGAAGTATTTATAATAAGGAACTTCTATACGTCCTAAAGGGCTAACCCAGACTAAGCAGCTGGGGATCTCTTGCTTATGCCTAGAAAACATGCCTCCCCCCCTCCAGTCCAAGCAGTGTAGAGGTAACCAGCTCCTTCTTGCTGGGGGTTTCTATTCCCCCCACCCCCACCCCCACCATGTGCTCTGAACTGCAAACTCAAGGGATGAAAGGAACTTGCATGACTTATCTTCATGGGAGGCAGAGCAGAAAAAACAAGTATTTTGTTCTCTTTAATGTTCCACAATAGACCGTCTGGTAGTGATGGACACTTCCTGTTGGGAAGGAGGTAACACTTTCTCTTGATCTTCAGCTTATCACTCTAATTAATGTATCTCTCCTGTCTGGTGATTCACAGTCACAGAGGCTCACAATACAACCACTCAAACATTACTTTACTCTATGGGATATATTTGTTACAAGTGACATTAATGCGTGCGGCAACTCACAAGCATTCAATAAAGCCTAAACACTAAACACATTCTTATCATTCTAATACCTCATTTAGCAATACTAGCACACAGGTGAGACAGACCGTTCCAATGTTTGTCAGTGTTCAATTTCGACATGGGGACCTTGGTATGAGCTGGCACCGTTTCTGTCGGTGTGA